CACACACACACACACACACACACACACACACACACACACACACACACACACACACACACACACACTCCGCTATCCCGACATAGACAGGGAGAGAAAAAGAGAGAGACACGTACACTCTTCGTTTTCTTTTCTTTTTTTTTTTCCCGTTTGCACCGAACATTTCACACTCTCCCCTTCCTCCCATCCCTTCTTCCTTTCACTGCTTTCACATCTTCTCCTCCTCATGTTCGCGCCTCGCCATCCCCTTTGTCTCCGCCTTAGCTCCCCCTCCACTGCCGCAGTGTAGCTCCGGCGGGTCCACTTGGTAATCTATAACGGGATGGAGGGCATAAGGAAACACGCTTACCGAACGACAATCACACAATAAACACAGAAAATGATCGCACCATAACACAAAAGGCTCCACTAACAGGAAAGCACCAACCACATCCGCCAATGGTCTAAAAAGAATTAGAGAGCAGTCTGAGTCGAACTACAAAGCCACCACAAATCAAACAAACACCGCAGGACCTATACGCAACACCATGAGTGCCATGAACCTCCCCCTGTCTCACAACCTGCAGAATCAGATGATCACATAGTGCTACATCAAGGCCACTGCGCATACTATGCCAAACTCCACAAGATCTCCACGCGGCACAAGGAGGGCTACTGCTTAAAAAAACACCCTAGAAGCTTCCCCATTTCTTGCATGTGCTCGACAAGACCAGCCCGTGGAAACGACACCCACACTAAGATACCGTGGCCAAAACTCCAAACATACATCCCACCCCGAACAGAACTTGTGACCACCCACAAACATTCCTTCATCGAAAAGACGCCCCATGCTGCAAAGCAGGGCAAAGAATTAGGCCATGTGTAATAGACAAAACAACCAACGACATATCCAACCAAAGAAGAATAGCTCGCTAGTACAAGCCCAAATTTAGAGCTAGCAACACCAGAATGTGTGTGTGTGTGTGTGTGTCTGTGTTAAAAAAAATAAATTAATTAAAAAAAAATAAAAAATCATTTGCCTCCATAGTAATTTGCCACACTACAGGACAACGTCTATTGAAAATACACTCTGATGAACTGTGGGAGGAGAAACCAGTTTGAAAGTTTAAGATCTTTGTGGTTCTGTTGTGTAAGGCTGTCGGTTTCTTTTAGGCATAGACAACTTCTCAACATGGTCTTCTTCTTTTGTTACATAGTGAACGAACTCTGCCTGGTCTGAGTTTGCTATCAAAATGAGAGGCTGTCGATCAGATTACCCTGGTGAAAGCATGTAGACGAACCACAACTGTCCCAACAAGGCATGCACAGAGTTGCACAAGAGTGATGTTTCACTTTTCCCTTTCGTTTCGCTTCATGACGATCATGAAAACCGGCTGTGATGATCAGCAGTCCACGTCTTTTCATGCGGTCCTCACAGCAGTAGCTACTGGCATATCAACAGCGCCCTGAGCACAGCATGCACAGGGATTATAGCCTCACACAAGCATGTCAGTTATGGAGGATGCTCAGAGGTTCACGGCCAATTGGACAAGGATTGATCTTCTCACCTCCCAGACCTCATGATTTTCATACCGATGGCCACTGCCATGTCAATATCCTGCTCCAAAACCTCTTCAAGAAGGGAGACTTGTATATCTCCCTCCGGCACAAGTGCTCCTTTCTCCAAAATGTCAAGGATTCGTGAGAACCTCCCCATTTTGCCGAGAAGTTTTAATTTCCATGCCTCGCGCACAGACTCTGGAAGATCGCGAGACATCGCTGTCATCCCGTCTGCAAAATGGATTCACAGAGACAAGGGTATGACTTCCAATCTTTGGTTCGCGGTCCTCACAGGGTTTAATTAACAAGCAACCACAAAAGAAGCCACAGATACACCCCACTGGAATGCAATGCAATAGAAATTTAGTAGAAAAATTAGACAATTCAACACCTTTGGTGGCTATGTCCTAAAAGGCTACAAACAGACAAAGATCTTCCTTCTGTGCCTTTTTTTTTTCTGAAATACCCGTGTTGTTCTGATTGGAGGAGTGGTATAAGCATTCCCTCCTGTCAGTCCCGCCGGTTGCTCCGGTCTATTGGTGGGGAGCTGCACCCCACCGGAATGAATTGCACTAGAAATTTAGTAGAAAAAATAGACAATTCAACACCTTTCGTGATTATGTGACTTCTGTCCCCTAAAAGGCTTAAAAGCTATGTTGGGCCGTCGCCCGGCCTGGCACGCCCGGGCCAGTTGGGCAGAGTGGGGGTCGCCCGGCAAAACCAGACGGGTCAAAAAAGAGGCAAGGATCTCAAAAAAATTAAAAGACCAGTCCAGGACTGCGCTTGGCCTAAGCAGTCAGAATCCGGTCTTAACTTCGGTTTTGGTGATGGGTCATCCAGGGGGGGTTGGGGGGTATAAACAGTGACTAAAGGGCTTAAAAGGGTACATCTGGACTCACGTTTTCTCATTTATTTTATCTTGAAATTAACAAGGAATTTTGTGGTGGCCCTCAGCCAAAAGTCATTTGTATTGCAACTTCACACCTGTGTTAAACTCCGGACCGTCCGGTGGCCTGACCTTCGTCCGGCAGGGGTCCCGGGCGGCCCGGCCGGTTGGGTCCCCCGGTTTGGGTCCCCCGGTTTGGGGCCGGGCGAGGCCAGCGCAATTTCGCGCAGAGAGGGGGGAAGGCCTTTTTTGGCTACTGGTCGCCTCCCCAGCCTCCCGCGACCAGGTAAATTTTTTTTTCTGAATCTACGACAATGTACTAGTTCGAGGGGGGGGAGTGAGGTTTTCGGCTGAGATTAGCCGCCAACAAATCGTTTCCCCCTCTCGCGGGCTACAATGCCGCGTTCAAATTCGAACGCGGTATTCCCTGTTGCGAAGCCCGTCGTCGGTGCCGTCGCGAAGCCGCCCATCGTCGCTAGTAGCCCGCCCGTCGTCGCTGCGGTCGTGAAGCCTGCACGTCTTCGACAAGCTGCCCATCGTTGTCTCCATCGAGCTGCCTCGTCGAGAAGCCCTCCTCGTTGTCGCTGCCCGTGAAGCTGGCTGTTGCCATCGTCGTGAAGCCTCCTCCACCTCTTTCCTTCCTCTTCTTCTTCTTCCTCTCCTCCTCCTCCTCCTTTCCTATTCTTCTTCTCCTCTCCTCCTCCTCCTCCTCCTCCTTTCCTCCTCTTCCTCCTCCTCCTCCTCCTCCCCCTTTTGTCTTCTTCTCTCCTCTTCCCCCTCCTCCTCCTTTCTTCTCCCCCTCCTCCTTTCTTCTCCCCCTCCTCCTCCTCCTCCTTTCTCCTCCTTTCTCCTCCTCCTCCTCCTTTCTCCTCCTTTCTTCTTCTCCTCCTCCTCCTCCTCCTCCTTGTCCCAATTTCATTGGATTTGTTTATTTGGCGAAGTGCCACGTGGCCACATCAGTGCGCTGAAAAGCGCCACGTGTCGGGATAGGCGAGCTGCAGTGAAATCCCGCCGCTAGTTAACCTACTGACGGGCGGGATTCCTCTCTCTCTCTCTCTCTCTCTCTCTCTCTCTCTCTCTCTCTCTCTCTCTCTCTCT